GATACCGAGCTTCACCTCAGGCTTTTCTCTACTCATAAAAAAATGAAGGTCATTTAATAATTTTTTGATTAAACTTTGTGCAAATATTAACATAATTTTATTTTTCAAAAAATACTTTCTCTAATTTCCTCCTTCTTTTCCCGCACACCTACATTCGTTACTTTTACAATTTTACAAGTTTAGGAGACAAAAACTGCGCCACAAAGCCGGAAAAGTTATTTGTCCGTACTTTCTCCTTTTTATATTCTTCTGTCGCCTCGCGTGTCCTAGACCGGGAAGGAAGAAGTGAACGTTCGGTGTTGACTCCGTTGCGCTGTTACAAAGAGAAGTGATGGAAAGACGAACCAAGATAATGGGCGTCAATGAAATTAAATTTGCATGGGTAATTTGGAAATACGCGTCTTCTGAGGTAACCAGAGAAAATTAAAATTCAAAGGAAGACCCTTGCTCCTTTCCTCGTTAGTGAAAAAAGAAGTCAACCTCTTGTGGGCTGCACTATGCGAATGGGGCCCTTCCTCGTCAAACGTCAAAAGTTTCCTCGAACTTCGTTACGACCGTCTGTATGTTGAACCCGGCGTGAAATGTCTGTTCTTTCTTTCATTTGGACAAAAATAAGTTTTTAGAAAGTTATCTTTTGTATCATTTGGTTACCTCACACACCAGACAGAACAATTCGAAAAAAACCCTGGAGGACTCTTTTCTGCGGATTTAAAATTTACAATTTGTTGCCGGTTTAAACTTTAGTCGTGGTGCACCGCAACAAATTCTCGTTTGTTGCCCAACTCAAGATAAAAAAGGAAAGAAAGTAACTGTGACCGTACAAAAAAAAATGATAAATTTACAAAATTCGCAAAGCTTACTATTTTCAACAAATCCTGTTAAATTTAAACTGTTCAGCAAAAAAACCTACTATTTTCATAAACAAAATCCTTTTATTTAACTTTTAGCAAAAACTGGCTTTTCAAGTGATGCGAAGCTGTATACCAAAAAATATGACAAACAAACAAAAAAGTTCGGTCTGTACTACGTTCCCAACCTTAATGTCATTAGCCGTCAAACGTTCGTCCGGTAATGCAAAATCGTAAAAAACTTTGCTGCCAAAACAAAAATTTATCAGCGAACTATCCAGACGGTATAAATCAGGGTAGGATGCGCGCACCAAGGGTTGATAGTTATCTTAATAGTTTGTACTGATGAATGTTCAGTTTAATAATGCAAACTATTCAAAATTCCGTTTGCATTCCCAAAGAATTAAAAATTTACCTTAATAGGGATCCTTATTTCGGGTAAAAGTAACATTTGATCTATCTTTACAATTAAAAAATTTCACAAAAAAATTCAACAACAAAAAAAAAAAACTCGACTTAAGAGATAAGTAGTGAAAACACTTGACTAGAGTAGTCACTCCGGTAAGAAAGAACTTTTTTTGAGAAAACAGACCGGTTTTCAGTCTCAAACTTTATATAGTCAAAACGGTTATTAAACAAAAACTGCGAGTAAACTGCGTTTGTTGTGGTACCGTCACGAGCGGTAAAACACTTTCTTTTTATCGTTTTCGTCAGAAAAACAAAACAAAGAATTACGTAGACCAAAAGTGAGGATTAACAAAGCACTTATATACTAATAAAGGACTGGCTTAATCTAAAGCCAGTTGAGTAGCACTTGAAATGTTTTAGCTCTATGAAACCTGATGTACTTATATGATTCTGTTTTCTTCAAGTTTGTATTTTGTTGGTCGAACGCACTTATTGTAAGTCGCTTTGGATAAAAGCATCAGCTAAATGCAATGTAATGTAATAAATGTAGTGGAGTAAAAATACCAGGTTAACCTCTGAATTGTAGTGGAGTAGAACAAAGTAGTATGCTGCTGTAACAAAAACATTTCCCAACTTGGGATCAATAAAGTATATCTTACCTTATCTTAAGATGATCGATGGCTACTATTTGCAAAATGTGCCTCTGAACCTTGACAAGTGCATGTTTGAGGCTTATCAATGAACAACAGGAGGGGTCACAGACATAAGACCAGCTGTTAAATAAAGCTCTTCTGACCTTAGGTGTCATGTGGGTATATTAATTCACCCATTTATTAATTATATGTTTTAAATTTGATAACACCACTGTGTTTCGTATCCCCTAAACCTCTAGGGGCTGGACCCGGGGGCTGTCCAATTCCAGTTTTGGATAGTCTGCCGTGGTTCCATTCCATTTCAAAGAGCTGTTGACGCTCAGCGTAACCTTGTCGCACTGCCACTCCAACATCCAATCACAGGGCTTGATGACTAATCACGGGGTTTGTAAAGCAAGGCGGATGTTGTATTCCCAAACGATAGCTTGGGATTCTGGGTAGTGTAGTGTCTTCGGATACTGTAATGTCTAAACTCCTAAAAAACTATTTGCTTCTCTGAATCGAAGGTTAAAAACACAAAAGCATTGTACACAATTTAAACTAATCAATATCGTGTAATTAACAAGGATACACTGATGTTTTTTTAGTGGATGAGTAATGCAGATATCACTGTGTAATCATTTGACAGTGAAGGGAATATATCCGGTTTTATTATGAAAACTTTGAGACCGGCAAAACTGTTTTCACCCACGCTAACTTTACATGGAAGCTGCATGCACGTTATCCTGACGAGACCTCAGATCATCTTCGTAAATATCTATCAAACTATAGATCCTACACCTCCACTGGACGTGGATTCTAAAAGTACAATATACACTTCTCGCTAGAAATCTAATCAAAAAGCATTTTAATGGCCAAACTATTCTACAATTTAGGATTTTCCAGAGAGGGTTATTTGTAAATAAACGAATAAACGGGAGCATGTTGTTTCTTACACGACCACTGGTGCTACCTGTGGGTGCTACACTTTCAAAACGTGGCTATGGGTCGTAGTCTAAGCTGCTTAAACAATCAAACTATTTGGTCGTTTTTTGTAGGAGGACAGGCTGCTCAAGTCTTTCAACCAGGGCCTCGAGGTAACTTATTTTTTGGTAGTTGCCAAGATTGACTGCCTCTCTTCTCCACTAGAGGCGTATTTGCAGTAATTTCTTAAGTTACCTCGTAGAGGTTGCCTGCTGGGTCCATCTTGGTGTGAGTCTTCTGTCACGGCTGGAGGGCAAGGTAGACAGGACCGAAATGCAAAAGGTTGAAAATCAGAAAACCTTTAATTGCGGAACTAGGCCAGGCAACAAAGTAAAATAAGGCAAGGCAAAACATTAAATCCCTCTGGAGTTTACAGTTAATCATGCAGCTTTTACTCATGAAAAGCAATAACTCTACTTAAACATCATCATGTGTTATTTAATATTGTAGTTATTGCCTGTACAGCACTTTGGTCAACTGAAGGTTGTTTTAAATGTGCTATATAAATAAATAAAGATTGAGATTGATTGAGATCATGGTTATTTACAGCTACCACATCAATGCTGTTGTGTAGACTTTTATATAACTGTTTGTGTGTTTGTGTGTGTGTGGGGGGGGGAGCATGTGTGTGGGAGATGTTGATACAAGAGAGAGAAAGAGGAGTTTGACCTTTTAAACAAATGTGTGTACACATCATGTTGTCCTTGTCTGTTTAAGTTCAAAAGACAGTTTGATCTACGAGCATTTCATTCTGGTGGGAGCCATCATGGAGAGAGCTGTGCTGCAAATCACCCTCTTCGGGCTGCTGCTGGCTTTGGCTGCGACACAACCGAACAAGGTGAGGACACAAAACCTAATAGAACAGCATGCCACTGCAATGACACTCAATTTATTGAATACATCTATTAAGTAGGAACATCTAGGGATTTTTTGTAATTTAATTAATCAATGGCGGCAGTTTTTTTTCTCCACGGGAGGCTATTCCAAAATGTAAGCAAACGTTTACACAAAGTAAAAACATATGTCACATTACAATGCAGGGCTAGCTCAAAAGCACCACAGAACTTGATACAGTCTATTATTTGAGAAGGGAATAAGAACCTCCTTATTATGCTTACTGATCTCTTTTCCTGTAGCTTTCATTGAGTTGGACAGCTATGTTTAATTTCCCAAACATGGCAAGTTGCATAGCATGTGGACTCTAGTTTGTTCATACTTTTTAGTTTTTTCTGATATGTGCTTAACCCTTGTGTTGTGTTTTGGTCTGCCGTGACCTGTTTCAAGCAACATTTGTATAATATCTACCCTCTAGTTTTTTTAATCGGGAAAAAGGCTTCATGATGAACTCCACAACAACTATATTAACATACCAAAACTGATTTTGACCATTTTACCCAAGTCTGAAGTTCCCTCTCAAAAAAAGTGTATAATTTGGTGTTCGCGTCCGGGAAGCCCCAGCAGTGCATTGACCTGTTGTGGGTGACTCTGGGTCAAATTTGGCCCAATCAAGACTCATCTTTGACTTTAGACACCCCAACCCACCCCTTTTTTCGTAACACAATTTCTATCAATATTTTATTGTAGATCATACATTTTACTGACTATATCATATTTATCTTGCTAATTAAAAAAATATACATAAAAAAATTATCAAATTAAAGTATTTCTTAATGACAATCTAGAATGTGGGAAGAGTTGGGGCGGCGCCCTAGCACCCCTATTGGCTGGTGTGAATGTGCAGGGCCGTCCCTGGCCAACATGAGGCCCCACGCAAAGTTATATAATGAGGCCCTCTGTTCCTCGAGCCTCGACGGGGGGACGGGGGCGTGGAGTGCTAGTGGAGCCTCGCAGCGGCGAAACCGCGCCGCGCCACACTAATTGCACCACATGCGCATAAGTGCGCCACATTTTTGGCTCCCTCCCCAAGATGAGGCCCCCTCCGCAAGGTGAGGCCTAACGCAGTCTGCGTGATCAGCCTGTAGGGAGGGACGGTGAATGTGTATTATTCATACTGTTTGGCAGTAAATATGTGAACACAGTCACATTGGGGGTCACATTTTGAGCACAAAAGATGGACCCCTTGATGTTGTTCATGATTGTTGTGATGTGTAGTCAAAACAAAAAAACGAAATAAGAACAAGAGCGGGGTGATTCTGCAGTTAGCCCAACAAGACTTTTATGATGCCATCCACCATTAGATTTTCACCATGACCTGATCTTTGGTCAGCTGGTATTCAGCCAGCGTGATTAACCAAGCCATTTAAATTATTGTGAAATGTTCCTCCTGCTTTATTTGTTTAGGACAACTGGGACATCTACAGCTTTCACATCAACTCCACAGTGACCAGTCGTTATGCAACCACTGTCATCACGAGCCGCATGGCCAATCGTATGGACGAGTCAAAGGAGATAGAGTTCCACGTCCGGATTCCCAAGAACGCCTTCATCAGCAAATTTAGAATGTGTGTTAGGCAAACATGTTTACAGGAATTTGCACAGAAATGATTTTACATCACAGAATAAAAATAATAAATCTCAGGCTACTAAAGAGTATGCATATAAACAACACATTTCCCTTGGTCTTCTTCAGGTTTATTGATGGCCAAGTGTACGATGGCGTTGTGAAAGGTAAAGAGAAAGCCAGGCAGCAGTACACTGAGGCTGTGTCCCGCGGACAAAGCGCCGGACTTGTCAGGTACAACAGATCACGTTTTTGACATGTCTTCTAGATGGTATGTGTGTCCTCTCGAGAACGAGGGAAAAAACATATTTTTGTATGACTTGTATGAAAATGTGTTAAACATCTTTGCTGTAAAGTCTTTCAAATGAAACGATCTGAGAAGGAAATATTCACCTTTGGTTGGTCTAATGTTAAACCCACAATAATGTCATAACCTGTGATTAGGGTTTATAAATATAGGTATTATTTGTGTTGAAATGGTCACAAGACTGAGGGGGAAACTACTGTTTTAATGCAAAGTTGATCATCTCATTGCAGTTCTGTCGGAAGGACCCTGGAGGAATTTAAGACCTCTGTGACTGTGGCTGCTCACAAAAAGGTCACCTTTGAACTCACATATGAGGAGCTGCTGAAACGCAGGCTTGGAAAGTACGAGCTGCAAATCCACGCTCGACCCATGCAGCCTGTGAAAAGCTTTAAAGTGGGTCTCCCTTGATCTATTTTGGAAAACATTTTCCATGTTCAATGCTTCTAACTATTTTAATGTATTTCATTCTGTCAGGTTGATGTGCACATTCACGAGAAATCGGGCATCAATTTCGTTGAGGTTAAAGGAGGACTAGCCCTGGCTGATGCCATCAACAAAACACATGCAGACAATGAGGTACATCATAAGATAAGATAAGATAGTACTTTATTGATCCCAATTTGGGACATTCTTTAAATGTCCCAAATTGGGATTTAGCAGTGATTAAAACATTTGTATTTAACTCAGATTTGACTTTATTATGATTTATATTTAACCATTTAGCTACATATATAATGGCAATGTACATTATACATTCTGTCATATGGCTCATACTTTTCTATTTTTATAGGTCTACTGTTGCACTTTTTCAACAGTTTTCTCTTTCTGGTTTGATCTTAAACTGCATATTGTTGTTCCAGTGGTGTGATGCAGTGATTAGATGTCAGTCTTATCACATTTAACAAGAGGCAGAGGATTTTTGAAGAATAAAACCTGCTCATCAACTTCTGTGTCACTAAAAAGTCTGTAAAGACAAGCAGTCAGTGCCTCTGCATCAGGCACAGCAAATGTTTTGTCTCTGTGTCCACTTAAAATCAATTCAAACACCATGACACAATTCCATCAGATTAATGATAAAAACCTAGAGGACATTATACAACTTCTGAAATCCTCCTCCTGCTGCCTTCATATTATTCCAACAGGGTTTTTCAAAAATGTTTTTCCTTGCATGGCCTCAGATCTACTTCATATAGTAAACAAGTCTCTTCACTGAGGTGTTTTTCCACAGGCCCTGAAAACTGCAGTCATTAAACCACTCTAAACCAATCTAGACGCTTGAGTAATGAACAATTAGAGGCCCATATCAAACCTCCCATTTCTAGGTAAAATCATTGAAAAAGTAGTCTTTCAACAGTTGAGTAATTTCTTGCATTTAAATAACTGTTTGGATGTGTTCCAGTCAGGATTTCGTCCAAACCACAGCACTGAGACTGCTCTTGTAAAGGTCTTCAGTGACATCCACTTAAACACAGACAGTGGCAGAACTTCAGTGTTAGTATTATTAGATCTCAGTGCTGCGTTTGACACTGCACAACATATTACTAGACCGACTAGAAAACTGGGTGGGACTTTCGGAAACAGTTCTAAATTGGTTTGAATCCTACTTAAAGGACAGAAACAACTTTGTTTCTATAGGTAAATACAAATCTGAGTTGACAAATATGA